TAAACTCTCTCAAGAACACCATGACTGCATAAATTTGAATGACCAAGAATAAAAATACGAACTACAAATATATCACATTGCAAATTTTACCAGAAAAGTCCTAATGGCATCTTCCAACAAGCCACAGAATTAAGAAAAAGAAAACAGCACAAGACATATTTTTCTTCTACATGAAATCATATTAAATATGGTATGCATGTATCTAACACAGTTATACTTGCCAAATATGTTATGTTCAAAGACCCTTTCAAGTTTTATTGTGCTATTCTTCTAATACAAGACTTCTAGTCAACACATTTGAGCCCTACATGCCCCCTCACTGCTGAAGTCAGTTCATGTAATAATCACCTATTACATGCCTTTGGGAGAAATAAAGACACTGTTTTGATCCTCAAGGGGCTCAAAGTTGAAATGTTTTAACATGAAAGTAGGCTTGGGAGCAGGGCACAGTGTTGCTCACCTGTAATCCCAGAAGTTAAGGAGAGGCTGAGGCAGGAGAATTGCAAATTCAAAGGCAGCCTCAGCAATGGTAAGGCACTAAGTAACTCTGTGAGACTCTGTCTCTAAATAAAATACAAAATAGGGCTGGGGATGTGGCTCAGTGGTCAAGTGCCCCTGAGTTCAATCCCAAGTAGCAGTCAATCAATTAATCAATCAATAAAAATTTAGGCCTGAGAGACAAGAGGAAAAGTGCAGGTGGCAGCTGTCTGAGGAGAATGTGTTCATGCCACCTTGTATAATACAATGGGCAAGAAAACAAGCCAATGTAGTGGAGAAAAAAATAACAAAAGAATCACAAGTTCCAGTTGTTATACAAGTGGTCTCATTCCAGTTGCAAGCCACATTCATTTTAAGAAACTTACTGTTTCTCAGTCTCTGGCCCATAACAGGTGCCTAATAAATATGTGTTAAATAAATTGAAGCGACAAAGAAGGAGGAAATCTATCCATAAACCTTATGAGATCTCTAGGTATGATGAGACATCTGGGGCCAAGGCAATGTTTCCTGCCAAAACAAGCACAGAACTACAATTCTAGTCATTCTTCATATACACTGGCTGTTGGAACAAAATGATTATGCAACCATTATCCATGGTGACACACCTAAGCCCTGCCCAGGACCCGCTGAATGTGAGTCACAAGATGATCTTAACCTGAAGTTCTTATCCAAAGCAACATTTTTATATTTTGTGAAACCAATTAGCAAGTATGTTTTTCTTGGTGAAGAGCCATTCATTTGTAACCCTAATCCCATAATCAAAACTGACACTTGAGTGACAGATGGGGAGATAGTCTTCCCCATTCTTCCATCTCCTCTTCACAGTACTCCAGGTAGCTGGGGATCCCAAGGCAGTAATAAGGAGGACTGGTTTCAGAGTATGACAGATCTGGACTTAAATCCTAGTTCCAACATTACTCTGTGACCTTGGACACTATCCTCAGCCATAGCAAAGGAGCTTACTAATACCATCTACATCACATTAAATGAGATAATGCTGGAGAAGTCCCCAACACAGTACCTGATAAATTTCAAGTCACAACATATTTCAAGCCTTTCTGTAATGGGGAAAATTTAAGTTACCAAATTAAAGAAGGAAGTTGACTGTTAAAGCTGAAACTTTTGTCTCATAAAGAAATGGCCCCTCCTTAAAACCTGTTACACTAATATTCTTTCCAGGAAGTTCCTATTCTGAAATCTGAGTAACCATGTGCCAACCTCAGTTCACTTTCCTATCAGACAAGGTGGAAATTTTCCTCCAGTTCAAAACATATGCATAGGGCTCCACCTAATGAAGAAATGAACATATTTTAAAATTACAGGTCTAATACTAAAATAAATGAACTAATCAAGTATATCCAAGTCAGAAAATTTTCAGTTTTTTTTTTTTTTTTTTTTTTTTTTTGGCAACGTAAGAAAGAAAACCAGGGATAAAATTTGGTTGACCTATTAAGAGAAATTTAAAAATCTATTCAATAAACATGTATAAAGTTCTTTCTGTAACAAAACATGTGTTCATTTGTCATTTTGATCAAGATGTTTTAAGGAATTCAAAGAAGAACAAACCTTAAAAGGAGGTCTCTGCTCCTAAGTATAGAAGGTATACAAATACAAGGGAGAAGGTGATAAAAGTTATTAATAGATGGGGTAGGGGTTGTGGCTCAGTGGTAGAGTGCTGGCCTAGCATGTGTGAGGCCCTGGGTTCAATCCTCAGCACCACATAAAAATAAATAAAATAAAGGTATTGTGTCCAACTGCAACTAAAATATTTTTAAAAGAGTTATTAATAGAGGTATAAAAAAGTGCTATAGGGTGGGAGAGAAAATCCAACTAAGGAATTTTTTACTAAAAAGTGGTGATTGAGTCATTATTTAGAGATAGGATAGAATTTCAAGAGGCAGATATGGGGACAGGGGAGGAGGCATTTTACTCTGATGAAAGAGCACAAATAAGGCTTTTTCTCCTTATGGGAGAAAGCTAATATTACTAATAAAGAAAAGGGGAGAAGAAAGAGGTTATTGGTCTTGTGAAACCTAAGGCAAACTGATGAATAATGGCCAGGAAATTAAATGCTTTTAAATTCATAAGCTTCATTATGACAGTTCTTATCCACTATATTCTCTCCTGAGTCATAATTACAACGTAGAACAATATGACTGGAATAACTCCCGGGAATCACCTTGTGATTGAAGCACTGGTTCAGCAAATGTATTATCTGCATTTCACAGGGAGTGGTTTAGCAACCTCTTCCTTATAACCAAAGGGAAAAATCTCCCTTGCTAAACCATTCCCAAGTTTTTCCGCTTTCACTTATGATCCTTAAGTCTTTTATCTGTCTCTGAAGAGTTATTTCATGGTTGTTTCTCAAGGAACAGATGATTTTATTGATTAACTTTTATACATCATTCTCTAAGCAGGATGGGAATCTTCTGAATTTGCAACTTAGCTTACTGCTTGAGATCATGCCCTGTGGAAATTAGTAAAGGGAACCCAGTCTTTCAAAGTTCATATTGTTCATGTTACATGCTGAACAAATGATTGTGGCATTATGAAGTTGATCAATTCCTTCTCTATCAGTGTAGACAGATGCCTTTTGGCAACAGAATCATAAGGACTAGGAACAACCTGTAGTGGATAACCACAATCACTAGGCTACATGGACAGCAACAATGAAAAACTAAAAAAGGAAGGCAAGCATGTTCAGGCTGACTCCTTAAAAGGAAGCTTACAAAATTGTGAAATATTGTATCCACTTTTACATAGGGCAAACACTGTATAAACTTGAGAACAATTGCCATGCTTAAAAAAATAGTTGCCATCACTTAAGAATTTGAAAAGTTCATCTGGGTGGGTGGTCAACGCCTGTAATCCCAGCAGCTCCTGAGGCTAAGGCAGGAGGATTCCAAATTCAAAACTAGCCTCAGCAATTTAGCAAGGCCCTAAGAAACTCAGCGAGACCCTGTCCCTAAGAAAAATATAAAAAAGAGCTGGGGATGTGTCTCAGTGGTCAAGTGCCTCTGGGTTCAATCCCCAGTACCCCCTCCCCCAAAACTGGAAGAGTTCACTGAGAACTCTAAACTACTGGCTTTCTTAAAGAATCTGAAGATCTAGCAGCCCTGTGCTTGCATTTCTACTTAGCAGTTACTGGCTGCTGGCTATCCCCTTAGCCTCCAATCTGCTGGCCCTCTTCCTGACCCCTACAGGCATTTTTGTCAGATTTTTGAATATGGCTTTAAAACTCAACCCACACATCTTAATGGTCTTAAGTTGGGAAGATAATGATTGTGTATTTTATATATTAATCAAATCCAGTTAAGCAGATTTACTTAAGATTCAGGATTAGAACATTTATATAAATTTAAGACAAAATGAAACCTGCCTTGGGTGATCAAAAGATACACAATACAGAAAACATGGAACTATGCCTTGTCAGTGTGGCAGCTCAAACCAGGGTATGTTATTAAATAAGATTCAAACTAAAAGTGGACTGAAAGTTTCTCAGTTTCAAAGCACAAATGCATTTTTTTTGTCAAGTGCCAGCTAAATAGAATAATATATGTGCGCACACACAATGCAAATATACACACATACATGCCAAATAAAACAGGAAAAATGATTCGAAGTACCATGAAGAGGGAGCTAAATAATCACTAAATACTTACATCAACTTGCCAGGCTAGTCAAATGTCCATTGAAAGCATGAACTCAATTGTACATTAAGAGTAACTTTCCTAATGGTAGCAGAGTTACTTAAATAGCACTCTTACATGGTAAAACTCTACTGTTACACATGGTAAATAAAGAAACAAAGAATTTCCCTGACACATTATGCTGGGAAGCACTGAGAGGACAACATTTGTTTATAATGGGCAAAGTATCCAAACCAAAATTTTCGAATCTTTGAAGTTGAATAGATTCTTGAAAAAGCAGTGTAGTGTGACTGTTTCCTAATTTTTTCAGCCACCCCCTCAGTTTGCTACCCTCTGCAATTTCTGTGGGAGAGAATGACAACGCATCATCACGCTAATACTTCATTCTTTCTACTGCTGGAAAGGACGCTGGGTTGAGCTACCACAGCCGTGACACAGCTTTCCCTCCATCCAAGGACGTCCTGTGCCTCTCAGGCCAAATGCTCCTGGGGAAAACCGCTGCAGCGGTCAATTTGGCCACCTGTCCCCTGCTGCACGCGGGCCGCTCTGCGTCGGATGCTCAGATAATCCTCGCTCTATTTGGGCAAAGAGTCCCCCTATTAGTGCGTGACCCAGCTCCACGACCAAAGCTGCAACTGCTCAACTGTGCCTCCGGGGTCCTGGGAAGCTGAGTTCCTCAGGCCCGGGCGGGGCAGCCCCAGCGTGGCAAGCCCCTCTTCGGCCTTCCCCCCTTGTCCGGCCATCAGAATTCAGGGCCGCCAGAGGCGCGGGATGGGGACGCGATACCTAGCCCCAGCGTCCTCAGGCTCCCGCCCCGGCTTAGCGCCTCCTCAGATATCACCCCAGGCTCACCAAAAAGCGTGTCGAGCTGGTACCCTGGTCCACTGCCCCCACCAACGGCCCCAAAACTGCTTTCTTCGCCGCTGCCATGAAACCAGCTTCAAGTCGGCCGGCTATCGCGGCCGGTTTCCCGGGTGACCGCGGTGGGCGGGGGAGGGGCGGGCGGAGAGACCGGAGACTAAGACCACGAGCGTCTGCTGAACACTCGGACCTCGCTGGAGGCAGCCCCTTTACCCGCGCGGAGCCTTCTCACCCCGCCCCTCCGGCCCAAACTCCGCCTCCCAGAGCGTTCCCCCACGGCCTCGGGGGCGTGGTGGAGGGGGGGCGCTGTCTGCCGGGCTGGCCAATTAGCGAACACGGAAAGAAACAGAACATTCGGACAGTCAGAAGGCTGTGAGACGTCATGGGGGCGGGGTCTGGGCGCGGCGGAGGCGGTGGCCCGCGCAGCAGGTCACGTGAGAGGAGGCCAGGGAGCCGGCTGCGTAGCCGGCCTGCTGCAGTGTCTGGGGCGGAGGCGAGTACTAACCGTTGGCTCGGAGCGCCTCTGCCCCGCAGAAAGAACACAAGTCCGCCCGAGCCCACAAATGGGTCCAAAAGTGCAGAACTGCTTGTTCCCTCCGGTGGGCTGTGCTGAGAACGACGTGAATCTCAGTGGGAATCTCCCCTGGGTCCGACCTTCCCGCGCTTCCCACGCCCCGCCCACCTCCCGCGCTTGGCCCCTGTTAATAATAGTTATAATCTCGCCTACTGGGACTGGCCCCAAGTGGGACCACTACAAGGAGCAATGCGAATCCCTAACCTTTGTAGATTTTTCAGAATCAAGAAATACCGTAATTCTTTCGGTTTAGTATTTAAGGGAAACATTTAAAAGCAACTTCCCCGAGTCCCTCGATTGACCAACCACACAGAAGACACCCGGCACCTCCCTGTCCTGACGCGCCCTTGCTCCAGGCTGGGCTTCTGTCTGGTGTCCCCTCCCCCCACACGCCATTTCCGCTCCCCTAGTTAACTGCTTTGGACAGTCAAGGGAAGAGAAAAGGGATTCTCACTTGACCTTGAATTTACCTTGCCAAGATCCTGTTGAGTCATGTGTTCTAGGGGCTTTCAAATTTTGGACCCAGACCCATAATGCGAAATAATTTCCAAACAACTTGGGGATTATGGGTATGTGGGCGTGCATGCATTATATAAAATATAACAGTTACATATATAGATACATTTTATATATATTTGTATGTATTATGTTTCCTAAACAGTTTTTGTCTTTCCATGCTCTATACAGTCTATATTTTTTATATTATAGTGTATCACTTTTAAAAAATATTAAAAATCACTAAATTGATTTAGTAAATCATGCGCTTATCAGTTTTCAAAAGCTCTCTCATTTCTTTCCATCCCTTTCCCAAATCTCCCAGTATTTTTGGAACATCATTTCTATTTTTTCCTCCTCTTGCATTACTCTATACCACCTTACTTCTCCATTTATTTATTTAGTTACACCACAGTTGTTCTGGAAGCAAATTTTCCTATACTCCTTTTAGCCATTAAATTCTGGTGTTCCAAATGAAGCCTGCTTGTGGAGCTTCTGGACTTGATAACTATTAATAAACTGACTTGCTTTGAGGTAGAAGGGCAGATGGGTAAGTATTTCTGAATTTTCTTGAAAGAGGAAAAAGAGACAGGCATATAGGTAAATGTTGAGGAACTAGGTCAACTTGCCTCTAAAAATTGTGAAAGGCATTAATTGAATAAGTGATATATAAATAAAGATTTCCTTGGTTCTAGAAGTCAGTAAAAATAAAGCCGCCAAACCTATCACATTGATCCATTTATTTAAAAAAAAAAAAAAAAGGCCCTGACCATGTTTGAACTTTCACACTTTTGGCTCAGATTCTACTAGGACAGCAAATGATTTGTTTAGCGGCACAGTGGGGATCAGAATTCAGTCATTTCAAAATAAGTTGCACTGTATGTACATGATAGATCCTTAAATTTATTGGTCCTCTGGTTCCTACAGCAGTGTGTACCCCACATCCTCAATCCTTTCACCAAAACAAAACTGAAAAGCCAAAATATTATTTGGATTTTCAGGAGTTACACACATCTAAGTGCCCTCTAAAAGACAAGGGGGAAGACAAAAGGAAGCGTCCTAAGTGGAAGAATCAACCTCAGCCTGCCTAAACTCCACACTCTAAATATTTACTCTAAACTACCATAAATCAATTTTCTCTTACCCTTTTAGAATCATTCTCTTGCTTGCCCTTTCTCACCCCTTCAAGCCCCAGCTGCAGTCCAAAATAGTTTTTTTTAATTTTTTAAAATAACTTTATTCTAATTTTTTTAATGTTAAAAATGTTAGGGTTAAACCCAGTGCTTCACATTCTATCACTAAGCCACAACCCCAGCCCCCCAAATTTTACATAAATGTAAAAATCAACCAATACCTATTCTGATTCCATTTTTCATACTGAGACAGAATTGGAAATAACAATGGCCTGAGGCCCAAATAGGATAAGTGATAGGCATGTTTGAGACCAGCCCTCCTCTGTGGCAGAACCAGGACTTGAATTTCAGTCTCCTGACATCAAACCTAGTGCAGCAAACCTTTTACAGCAGATGGAGGCAATGGAAGCTGAAGGAAAATGGACTAAAAGAGAAAAGATGGGATGCTGGTCCACCTTTATTTCCCTACCATGCACTGCAGATCTGAAGGCAAAGTAGCAGATGAAAGAATTCCCCACGCAAAGACACTTCGCCGGGAGAATTCCAATTTTATTGCAAAAAGCTGTGTGCTTATATAGAACTAAGGGGGAGATGGTAGGGCTTAGATAAATTGCAGGCAACCTATTTATTGGCAAGTTCTTTCAGATATCAGCTCCGTAGCCCAGGAATTAGTTCTCACTGGGGCTAAGGTTCCCTGCCAGCGAGATTTGAAATTGGCGCTGGTGGGAGAGTTCACACGGTTGGGAACTTTTCGCACCACTGCAGAAAAGAAGAAGGTAGGAAGAGGTGCTTAGGCGCCATGTTGGGGTTTTTTTCTCTGGGGTATGGCTGTTGTTTATACTTTTCCCAACAGCAGAGGAGTAAACACTTAAGTGGAAATGTAAGGACTTGGTCTGATTTTGGCCCTGCCATTCAACTCTTACTCTTCTTGACCTTGAGTAACTCATTTCCTCTCAGGGCTTCCTTTTGCTCATGTGTAAAATAGGGAAAATGTCACTGATACTGACGTGGATGGGTTAATGTGACTTGACTGATGTAATGCCTGTGTCATGAAAGGCAAGATGCAGTATCCCTGTCATTTCTGTTTTCTACCAAAGAGATCTAGAGGTGAAGAACCAAAGTTCTTCACAGGCAAATGATTTAAGTAGCTTGAGTCATCTAAGGCTTGCTATGATAATTTCTGCCTAGTAGAGCAGGAAATCAAAGTTAAGCCCCTTTAGAGTGTCTCTAGGTGTTTCGCTTATTCCTCCTCTAGTTTTTCCTGTTCTTTATTAACTTACACAGAATTTATATAAGCAGAAAAAGCCTACATTTCCCTAGAGAATCTTTTTTTTTTTTTTTATTGTTTCTGGCATCGCTTCTTGATCTCATGTTCTCCTGAGCTGTAGCACTTACTTTTTCTAGTCTAGTCTATTTGGAAAACTAGCCTTTCCTTAATTCCTCCTGACTATTCTATTGACTTGAATATGAATTGGTATGGATAGGAAAACCATAACATGGAAAGTTAGTGCTAGAAAGATTTACAATAAAAACCCAGGCACTTTATTATTTTATAGAACTGAAATGCTTTAAGCAGATATATGGAGTAATCTGCCTCTGCTAATTAGAGGGAGTTAAAAACAGATTAAGAATTTAAATAGGGGTGCTGGAGATATAGCTCAGTTGGTAGAATGCTTGCCTTGCATGCACAAGACCCTGGGCTCAATACCCAGCACCACAAAAAAAAAAAAAAAAGAATTTAAATGTATTTGTTAAAAATAGCCAAATTGGGAGCCTCTCTCTTCCACTTGCAGATTGGAGAATCCACTCACATGCATGTTAATCATCTAAACGTGACTGCCTAAAATTGTGTGTCACTTTACACAATGTTGTACTCATAAAAACATAAGGATTGGGCAGGTTCTCACTACTTGTGTCAGAACCACCTAGAGGATTTGTTAAAACCCGGGTTGCTGGGCCACAACCCCACAATTTGTTTCATGGGTGAGGTCTGAGAATTTGCATTGCTAACAAATTCCCAGGTGGTGCTGATACTTCTGATACAGGGACCCCACATTGAGAACAATTAGGCTCTGGATAGAGTTTGACAAAACTGTAGTAAAACCCTGAGGTAAAAAGAGGTCTCTGTTTTATGAGTTGTTAATGTCCCTTTTTCCTAAACCTCCGGTCTCTGCTAAGAATCAAGTCGTCTACTTAAGATATTGGTAGATGAGGGGCTGGAGTTGTGGCTCAGTGGTAGAGCACTTGCCTGGCATGTGTGAGGTGCTGGGTTTGATCCTTAACACTGCATATAAATAAATAAACAAACAAACAAATAAATAAATGATCCATTGGCAAGTAAATTTTTTTTTTAATTTTAAATTTTAAAAAAATGGTAGATGAAGGCTTAAGGAAGAAGGTTCTCAAACATTAGTTTATGTCAGAATCATCTTGGGCACTTGTTAAGGAGGCTTATTTGTGCCACTCTCTTTTACCCCACCCCAATAAATGCAATGAGGTAAGCTGCTTGATACCAGCAATTTTGTCCTGATCATTATTATGATCCCAGGAACTATAAGTGATATCAAAAGAATGATAAGTGATTATCAAAAGAATGAATAAATATGGTAGACTGAAAAACCAAATGAGTGGCTCCTAATGACTCATGCTTTCTAGTAATAAAGCCCTTTTATTGTGCCATCCCACAATGACCTTCTGACTTGGACCATTGATATGCATAGACAGTGGGATAATAGGAAACATGATAGGAACCGCAAAAAGCACTTGTGCAGAAGTGAATGTTTCCCTCTTGGAACTCAGAGTAATCTGCAACCAAATAAGAGGCCATGTTGGGGAAAACAAAGACACCCCAGGTAACCAGCTCCAACTTTAGATATATGTATGAAACCATCTTGGATATTTTAGCTCCAGCCAAGCTCCCAGCCAATTGCAGCTGCCGAATGAGCAACCCAGCTACTGAACGACTTTAGATAGCACCTGCAACAAAACA